CTCTGCCAATTCTCCTTCGCGGCTAGGGTTCTTTCTTTGGCTATGTACAGAAAAGGACGGTAAACACAATGATAAAAAAATCACGTGAAACAAGAATCGAGAAAGGGCTCATCGAAGGAGTTTTGGGACTTTGGCTGTGGCGGCTCTGCCAGGCTTCGCCTGCAGTTTCTGGCTCATCCACCGTTCTTTTTGCTCTGATTTAGCCATGGGGGTGCTCAGATATCAAATTCCGAGCAGGTAGGAGAAATTTTTACCTTTTTTGGCCGTCGGTGGTGGCTCTGGTGCAACGACAGTCAGTGGTCAGCCTCCTTCTCCGACGAGGGCTGGCGGGTAGGGTTTGGGTTCCTGTGTGATACGAGGTATTTATATCCATTCCACTTTGATCTAAGTCCTCCATTGCGATCGATCTCGTCCGTTCGATCGCGCCTAAGGAGAAAATAAATATGAACCATCCATCGTGATTTGATCTCGACCGTCCGATCGTACTTAAAGGGGGAACAAATCCGGGGTGTCCACGCACGTAGGATCGATTTATGGTCATCCGATCAGGAGGCACGCAGATCACCCGCATGGCATCCCACGTGGCACCGACGTCAGCGTGCCTCACCACATGGCGTGCTCCAATTCATCCGGGTTGCTGACTGGGCAGTCTTACGTGGTACAATTTTTTCTATTTGCACTATGACCCATTGTTTCTAATTTTTTTTTTTCAAAAACACCTCCCGACCCAAAGTTTTACTCTTTTTTCCAAAATTATTTTCAATTTCATCCCTAACCTTTTTTTTCTCTCCATAAATTCAATATAAAATTAAAATAAATTTTTATATATCTTTGAATGTTAAAACTGATCCCGGGTCAAATTTTAGGGGCGGATATTACAGTATAAGCAATCTACCATTGCTCATTCTTCAATAACAAGTGAATATAAAGTAGAAGTAAATTGTAACTTTGAGCTACTATACTACCTATTTCACGAATTTAAGTTCTTATTATCATATTCATTTGTCATTGGATGTAATATTGCTAAAATTGTGTTCTCATTTTTTAATCTTGTTTTTAATATGAGAATAATATATACTCAAATTGAGTACTACTCAAATTGAGTACAACTTTGTTCGTGAACAAACAGTTCATTAAACAGTTACTGAGTTCATATACTTCCATCTAAAAGATCAAGTTATTGACATCTCCATCTAATTTACGTCAAATACTATGTTCTTCAAAATTTGTGACTCACCGAGACTCTGTGTTCCGCTTCACCATTTTCTTACAAAAGGCGTCAAACATACAAATCTCTATTATTTTCTCATGTAATTGATTGATTGTGTATTTATCATGTAAAGTCTCATTCATTGTATTTGATTCTCTCTCTTGTATCTTGAACTATAATTTATATCTATAAATAGTGACATTATAATTGTGATACAATATGCTTTTTGTCTCTTAAACTTATAATTGTTTTGTTAAAAAAAATTAATTTGGGTACGTTAGATTAAATATTTATGATTAAATCAGGGTCAATTTTTGGATTTAGAAATAAAAAACTCGTACCATATATAACATTCTTTTAATTTAAATATATATATATATATATTGTTTTATCAGAAAAATTAGTAATTTTACAATAATCAGTAGCATATTTAATAATAAATACTTTACTTAATTAATCACGGAGAAGATATTTTCATCACAACTAATAAAGTGATTGCACACACATGGAACACTACAAATCCATGGTTTATTTTTCACAATTACATGACTATTAAAACAAACACGACACACAAAGTTTGAATCCATGTACACACATATATAGTATATATATATATATATGAGAAACCCATGATCACTACGTTATAACATGCTGAAGTTTTAGAGCATATATATATATATATAGATATAATATGTAACCTCATATATCTTCTTCTTTACTCATAATTGAAGCTGAAAGAATCCATGACACAATGATAAGTGCCATCTTCCATCTCGTATTTCTTCTCTTCTCCATCGCCAAGATTATCGATCCGAGTGTAATGGAAGGGAACATCGCATTCAACCGTCGTAACGTTTAAATTTACCGTTACCTTTCCGGAAGGCGGCACTTTAATTTTGTATTTAACATCAATTTGATTCGGGTATTCCATTGGTTGTCCCCATTGGCAGGGTCCCTTGAAGAGTCCAACTAGTTCGACTTTTTCGTTTACGATGACCGGAAGATTAGTTTCAATCGTAATCGGCACAGCAGGTTTCGATGATTGAGAACTCCAAGTATAGCTCCTAGTTTCTTTATACGAGAGCTTCACGTCTGCATCGACGGTTTCATCGGAATCGTTGCTGTAAGTTTCGGTTGCCGCAACAAACGTAATGCTGTCCTTTATGGTACCTTCTTCCGACAGATAGTTGACACTCGTGATTTTCGTTGAAATAACTTCCTCTGACATATCTTTTGATATCTCGAAGTATCTTCTACAATTTTTTTAAGTATATCTGTTTGTTCTGCTTCTCTTATCTAAAATTTTTAGCTATTTATATAAAATAGCTTTGGACTGACTTGGATGGTGTTAATTATATATATATATACACACACACACATATATACCCACATAAAGAATTGTGTTAATTAAGCAAAAAATTATGTGGTCCCACATATTCGATTCCTTTAAAAGAAATCAATAAAATACCATTTATTTATTCATATATTATTTTCCAATTTTCTATTAATTAAAATTTAGTAAAAATATTCATTTTTTTTTTTTTGCATTTGGTTAATTGAATAAGATGTACACATTCATTATAACACAAATTTAAAAGAAAACCGTATACGATAATCAAATTTACGATCTTCATGGACATTGATTTTGTTGATAAATTATTCAATTAAAAACTTTTTGATAAATTTTGTTGATCAATTCGTTAGTAATTTTTATGTTATGCATGTGATAATGTTGTGAAAATTAATTCTTAAATCATGCACAATCTTGATAAAATAAAAATAGAAGGATATAAACATAAAATTTTTATGTGGTTTGACAGTGTGCCTATATTTACAGGTAAGACCGACAAAAAAGTATTCTACTTTAATCAAACGAGAGTACGTCATCAATAAAATTAGTAAACCTATTTATAAAAAGATTAGCAGAGTTTTTCTCAAATAATTTTTTTTTTTAAAATATACATAAAATATTTTTAGAATAAATACAAAACATCAGCAAAATTCAAGTATGTTGGCATAGATAAGTTTATATTTGTATGAAATTTAATTATAAATATATATTTGTCTTTTAATTTTATTTAAAAGTTTAATAATATATTTTAAAACTTTTGTTGGAATATTTAATTTTAATCTGAATTTAGTTTATATGTTTTTGTTTACTTAATAGCGAGAAGATAAATGTCCAACAACCACAAAT